CCAGGATCTGGTTCTGTGTCCCAGGATCACAGCTCGGTGCTCTCAGACGGCTCCAGGGGTGGTTCTGTGTCCCAGGATCTGGTTCTGTGTCCCAGGATCTGGTTCTGTGCCCCAGGATCACAGCTCGGTGCTCTCAGGCAGCCCCAGGGGTGGCTCCGTGTCCCGTGTCCTCTCCAGGGGCAGCAGCTCCGTGTCCTGCCGTCCCCCCGAGGGCAGCTCCCTGTTCTGGGCTCCCTCCACGTCCCAGGACACCGCTCTGGGCTCGGCCCCGTGTCCCCACGGGGGGCACCCCTCGCTCCCCCCGGGGTGACTCCGTGTCCCGGGGTCCCCCCGAGCTGCGGGGCTCCCTCAGGACGAGTCCCGGTCCAGGCTGCAGCCCAGGGCCTCGATGTCGCTGCTGATGTGGGAGATCATGCGGTCCCACTCATCCTCCTCCGAGGGCACCGACTGCTCGTCGGAGCTGCCGGCGGCGCCGGTGCCGTTGGAGGCGGAGGCGGCGCCCAGCGAGCGCCGGTAGCGGCCGAAGCTGTCGGTGATGATGCCGCGGCCGTCCTTCACCCCGATGGTCTCCAGGAAGTTCTCGAAGTGCTGGCTGTCCTTCTCGGGGATGAAGGGCCGCAGGCCTGGGGCAGGGACACGGCGTGGTGAGCGCCTGGGAGCCCCCCCGGAGGGCTGGGGACCACCGGGGTCCCGCCCGCTCACAGCGGGGCCGGGGGCAGAACCCGGCTCAGGTGGGATCTGCTGAGCTCCAAACCATCTCATTTCTCAGCTGGGATCTCACTGGGCTTTGCTGAGCTCATCCCAATCATTTGTCCCATTGGGGACATCTGTCCTGTCCCTTTGGTGTCCCCAGGGCCCCACGGGGGACACACCTGGGCAGCAGAGCCAGGTGAGACCCCCAGGTGAATTCAGACACTGCTCCTGTCCTGGGGGGGTTTGTGTTCCCTGGGCAGCAGAGCCAGGTGAGACCCCCAGGTGCACCCAGACCCTGCTCCTGTCCTGGGGGGTTTAAACTCCCATTCCCTGGGCAGCACAGCCAGGTGAGACCCCCAGGTGAATTCAGACCCTGCTCCTGTCCTGGGGGGTTTAAACTCCTGTTTCCTGGGCAGCAGAGCCAGGTGAGACCCCCAGGTGAATTCAGACACTGCTCCTGTCCTGGGGGGGTTTGTGTTCCCTGGGCAGCAGAGCCAGGTGAGACCCCCAGGTGCACCCAGACCCTGCTCCTGTCCTGGGGGGTTTAAACTCCCATTCCCTGGGCAGCACAGCCAGGTGAGACCCCCAGGTGAATTCAGACCCTGCTCCTATCCTGGGGTGGGTTTAAACTCCTGTTCCCTGGGCAGCAGAGCCAGGTGAGACCCCCAGGTGCACCCAGACCCTGCTCCTGCACTGGGGGGGGTTTAAACTCCTGTTCCCTGGGCAGCAGAGCCAGGTGAGACCCCCAGGTGCACCCAGACCCTGCTCCTGCCCTGGGGGGATTTTGTGTTTCCTGGGGTATCACAGGCCAGGTTGTTTGAATATCCCTGGCCTGGAGATTTCCAGCTCTGGATTCAATTCCCTGGCTCTGGAGGAGGTTTCCAGCTCTGGGACAGTCTCAGGTGTGGATTAGGTTGCCCGGATCTGCAGGAAGTTGCCAGGAGCTTCACAGGCAGGGAACAGCTCCGAGGAGAGCCTGGAGCTGTGGGCTGGGCTGGATGGAGCAGCTGCCCTCAGGAGGGAGGAACCCCCAGATGGATGGGGACGCTTCCCCTGTGGTGGTGGCACCCCAAGCTCCCCCTGTGCCCCCAGCCCGGGGCTCTGGGAGCCCCAGCACTCACCCAGGAGCAGGAATTTCCTGCTGTCCCCGTAGAGCTGCTTGAGGTTGATGCAGAACTCGTGGATGGAGGCCCCGTTGCGGTACTCGTGCAGCAGCATGGCAAACTGCTGGATCTCCTGCGAGGACAGCTTGGTGCGGAGCTGCGGGGACACAGGGGAACGGTGACTGCCGGGGAACGGGGAATGGGAAATGGGAATGGGGCTGGGAAAGGGGAATGGGAACGGTGACTGCCGGGGAACGGGAAACGGGGCTGGGAAAGGGGAACAGGAACGGTGACTGCCGGGGAACGGGGCTGGGAAAGGGGGCTGGGAAATGGGGAACGGGAACGGTGACTGCTGGGGAACGGGGCTGGGAGCTCGGGAACGGGAACGG